TGGCACCTAAAGAGAAAAGTTTTTTTAGAACTGAAGTGATTTCATTTTTTAAAAACTGTTTAAAGGATCTGTTATCTGATAAAATGTAGATGAATTTGTTTCTCGGAATCATTACTAGTTATATGGATCATTTATTGAGAAAGATTGAAAGAATTTTGACAATTTTAAATTTCCCATCATTTTTGATTACCTTGTCAATGTCTATAATTGTGTTTAGAACTAATTTTGGCTTCAATTTCTTTATCAAATGGTGAATTTATTTTAATTATACTGTTTATTTCAATATTTTACAACTTCGTTTCTGATATGATTAGAAAAGAAGCACTTTCAACCCATTGTGGTTCATGTCTAACATTACTTTCGTTTATTGTGTGGTTTGTTTGTTTAAGATATGATATTCTTGTAATAGTATCAGTAGTGGCTGGCTTCAAGATGTATAGCCTGTAGTTCTAGTGAGAAGCCGTTATCAGTGGATTTCAACTGGGTCTGTAGTGAGGTAGTAAATCATTGATGATAATGGTGAAGGTGTCGCTCAATTTCATGGAGTAGTTGAAGTTAGACGTTAACACCGTTGCATGCCGGTTTAGTGGTCTAGTGGTTAAGCGCTCGCGCGCGAAACTGATAGGTCCTAGGTCGCAAATGCGCACTACTGAGAAGTCCCATTATAGGACGAAATTGCCGTTCAGTGCATTCAGGTTTTCCATAGTGGTGTAGCTGCAATTGACTCATGATCTTAACTATTGAAGTTCTTGTATTAAATTAACCTGAACTATGGTCAGCATAACATGCAAAGTGTAATTTCGCAGTAATTTCATGTGTAACATCTTTTACCGATTGATAATCAAGTGTGCACAAATCAATATATAAGTTAGTGCATTTCTGTATAGAATCATTGTCATGGAAATTTCATTAGTTCCTTATTTCAAATCCAAGTAACAAGCAATATGGATAAAACATTTGGCGACAGGAAGTTTAGAAAACAGAAAACTATAATAATTTCTAGTAAAATAACTATCTAATTTTCATTATTACAATTTTATTAAATTTCTGATATTAAAACAAGATGATATTCTACAACACTATTGTTCTTCGTTTTTAATAAGAATTATATAACAGTTGATCCTATATTTGAGTATTAAACTGTTTAACTACAATAAAACATTCAAGTAAGGTTTGAGTATAACATAATTTTGTCTATTGACAATAAATAAACCCGACTCACACATCCTTGTCGTGTCTCCTGGATAGTGGGACTCAATCACATGACCTAACGTGAGCAGTAAACCAGGTGGTAGAGATCGGGCTAATCTTGCACTCGACTGATACCTAAAAACTAATTACGAAACGCACAAAGAATCACAACACAATTACTCCTGAATCGAAAAACGACAAAATAAATGACCTATTTTGATTTAAAGTACGTCAAGCCTAATCGATATTCAAACAAATTACTTTTGAATATTGTAGTGATCTAGATTTTATAATAAATAATTCAAAATCTTATAGCTCTATTCAAAAGTAAAATATTAGATTAATTGTTTGTCAATAAAATCAATAGTACTTTTGTGGTGTGGGTTACTTATATTCGTACCGTATAAAAGCTGGTCAGGCATAGAATGTATTTCAGTGGAAGATCGATAAGGAAAGAAATCTGAGACAATTGACTGATATTTGCAAAACGAACAGTGAAATTTAAGAAAATGGATTGATATTTTGCAAATTAACTGTTTACTATTTGGTTATCAGATTTTAGTAAGATGCTCTGTAATTTCGTGTCGAATACATTCGTTTCTCCTCACTTGTGTTCTTTGTTCACTACAGTGACACTTACTCATATCAGGATGAGAACTATTTTTAAGTTGCAACATAGTCAGAGCAACGTAACTAATTGAGATGATGGATTGATATTTTGCAAATTAACGGTTTATTATATGGTTCTCAGATTTTATTAAGATGCTCTGTAATTTCGTGCTGAATTACATTCAATTGTCTCCACTCGTATCCTTGTTCACTACACTTTCATATAATTATTCAACATGATAGTAATTCTCTTCTAAGACATTATATTAGTAGAAAGTATGACCTGATAGCGTATATCAGTCTATAATCAACTTTATTTCTAATAAATTAAAAAAAATTTAATTTCATTTATCTATCATGATTGATAAAAAAATTAATTAGAATTATTGATTTATCTTAATTAATAAATCAATACTTACTAATTGGATTTAATTCAATAAAAGTCAATCAATTAACTGCATGTATATTCGTCGATAGTCGTCATGTATATTGATGTGTTATTATGTGTCATTGTCAAGAATAGAATATATACTATTTGGTTAGTGAAATGTTATAATCTTTCCACCTCACCCCCCTCTATCTTGTAACTATGCATTTATAAATATTAAAAATAACATTTTTTTTAAAATGTAGATCATAATTGTTGTTATTATGATTTATGTTGTTTTTAATTACTAATTAAATAAATAATTAATTACCCCTTGTTATTTATTGTTCTTTCCAGTCATTTATATTTTTATTCAAAAACAAAATCTGAAACAAAAAATAAAAGGGGGAAATATAAAATGATTATTGGAAAAATCAATGTCTAACTATTAGCTTGTGCAGCTTTCTATTTTGTTATCAAATATTCATCATCAAGCAATCTAATCTATAAGATTATTTATATGAATAAAAAATTTACCTAAAACAAGGTTCATATTGAGTAGTTGTGGATTCGTTTTGTGATTAGAGTACTGAAATTCATCGTCAATATTTAAGTGATAATAGATTTTGAGAAGGTATTCAATATCAGCTTGAATGGTCTAATATATTCTTTCAGTGATTGGTAGGTTATCAGTTTGATGTCCTTTGAAATCATAGCTGCTTAATGCTCAGGAGTTGTTTGATATGACGGCACCAATGTCTAGAGCGTTCCGATTTTCAATGATTATCTAATTGAGTTCAGCACTTGATGTAAACTATGAAAATACAAAATCTCTATGAATTTTCCTCTAGTAACTATTTTTCTAGTTGATCTAATGTTTTTCCTCGTTTTTGTTATAACTTGTGGCCAGTGTGTCCAGTTAATGTATAACGTCACGATAACGCCCATTACAGAGCAGTGAATTATCGACCGGATCAATCACGCATAAATCCCGTGAGAGCAGTCTAGAGTCCTGATTATTGATCCTGCTTTCCGCCTAGTCCAAAGAGTTAAGTCCAGAACACCAATCTCAGCCTCTGTAATATGAATCCTGTATTTCAAACGTACTGGGTTTATATACCATCCAGAGAGACCGCATCGTATGTATAAAATAGGAAACAATATTTCTACAAGATTTGGCCGAATGTGGCTGCGAATGTGAGAGGTAGTAATTAATAGACAGTGAATAACTCAAGAATGGTAAATCGTATAATAATAATAGTTCATAGGTCAAAATACGGCTCATAATAAGGGGGACACGACTATGAATAGTTTAGTTACATAACAATTATACGATAAAAAGTATATGTATAGTAGTAATCTATTAATGTATCCCAAAAATTACTATTCAGTATGCTCATCGGGACATAACAGTTCTGCACAATTTCAGAACTATGTTACAAAATTTAAACTGGTACAGTGAGGAATGCAAAAATGAAAATTATAGGTATTCATGTCCCAAAACTCTATTTCAACTCCCACAATTCACGTCTACAAAACATTATGGTCACCAACTCTCATTCCTTTCAAGTGTTATGCTATTAATTCAAGCAGTCTAATTACTTATTTTATTCTAACTAAGGACCAGTTCATTCTCATATTACACCTGAAAAACGAACAAATTGTTTTAGATGAGTTATAGGTTAACGGATGTGTAAAAAGATTTATATAACTCACTTCCATCTGGAGCGATTTTCATCTTGCCAACGGTTCTGTTTTCTAACTTTACAGTTTTAGATAAAGTAAAAAGAGTGATGGGTCAAATTCCTCGACATAGTTGAAAGTCATAGGTTTGATCCCTGTTAAGGTCGTGGATAAATACTGAGAGGGAGTTCTGTATTAAAATAAAATACTTGTTCAGTACTTCTTGCTTTTCAATAGCTGTCAAACTAAGATCGGTCTGTGGTGTAAATATTAAATTTCAATAATGCTCACCAACTACTATAGTTGTCATAATAAGTTGTTTTGTCTTTCATGAACCTTATTTCTGTATTTTATTCATAAACACATCGATGTCTCAATGTTTATGTACTGTCACACCAGTATATATATAGTCTTTATTAGACTACAAAAGAAGAGTGCATGTCCTTCGATATCAATACCTACTGACATATTTATTCACTTTAGGGGAAAAGACTCAAAAAGCTATACTTCACAAAAATATTTAAAAATAACTTTACATGTAGTCACTGTGAAGATTTCACTTTATTTAAAGATTTTACTTCCATTGATTTATAGTTGATAGATGTAGCTTGATGTTTTGAATTTTGCACTTTGTATCATTATCATGGATATGGTAGTCATTTGATTAAATTCAGTATTATTTAGTGATAAACCTATTTTCTAATCGATTCTTTTAAGTTCTGTGGTCCTCCTACATGTTTGTAACAAATAATAAGTTTACAGGGTTTCTATCTAAAGCATACTAACTTGACCCAGAGTGTTAATCCCTCATTTTCTTTTATATTATGTACGTGACTTAACTATTTCTGTTTTCATTGCGACAAGTTTTAATTGTGAAAAGAACAAAACCTGGAAGCGTTGGACGATCTTTTCGTAGTATTATGGGACTTCTCAGCAGTGCGTATTCACGATCTCGAACACAGGTCTAGTATAAATTGACTCGTGAACTCAACTGTAAATACTACAATGTTTACAAACCCCCATACTAAAAAGAACAATTTTTTTGTAGATATGTAAATCCTTTTTTTGATTTAACTAAATTAATATCTTAACACAAACCTTTTAGTTACTATTGAATAATTATTTCTCTCCTGTTATTATGTTATTTTAGAACATATACGATTGGTCAATATAAATGCTAAAGGTGCTCATCTTTTCAGTGAAGATCTAAATCAATTGAAGAATCAAATGTCTTATAAAAAAGAAGTTACTCAACAATTTGACAATCTAAGTTTTCTATTAGTAAGTTATTCATGTTGTTTTATGACTCGATTGATTTTTCTTTATATATATATTACCAGTCGGAGACAAATCCTCTAACCGAATAATAACATAATGTAATAGTGTTCTTTTTTAAATAATAAATTCTCAATGAATTCTATTGTCGATATTGTTCTTGATGTTAGTTGTCAGTTATAAGAAGATCGCCTTTTCCACTAATCATCATATCCAAAATGTTGCTTTTTTTCTATCACACACACAATTCATTCAAGGTTTGATTTCTTTAAAATGATCACAATAATCCATACAGTTTTCATTTAATATAGTATCCTATAGATTTGTTAATTTACTCTTCAATATATATATGTATCGCTTACTTGGGGAACAAACAATAGGGATGACAATAGTTGAAGGAAATAAATCTCTTTTAAACAAAAATTCAACTGATGTCAGTTCTTCTACAAAATGAAAATTTCTAACTATGACAATACAATGTATCTTAAAGTTAGATTTTTAGTGTGTGTTGCTCATTCTAATTTATCATATAGCTTATTCATAAACGGAATGAAATGAAAGTATAGTGTAGACAGTATCTTTCGACTATTTGATTTATTTCTTAATTCTTCTAATAAATCGTATTTTATTGTATATGAATATAAAATAATCTGAATGACTGAAAGTTAAATAATTCCAACACTCTGTAGAGGAAAACTGTCTGAAACTTGACGAGTTTGCTGAATGAACCATTGGAATTATATTCAATTTTGATCGCCTGGATTATTTCAATTATAACTTTTTACAAACAATATCTTCTCTATACTCAGTGTCGAATCTTCGTCGAACTATTCGATTAAGTTTTGATGAGTATTCATATTCAAATTGAATAATACTTCATATTAATTTTTATTAATATTAATAAACACCAGTCTTCCAAAGTTAAATATTCAAAGTAATCTTTTTAAAGAAAAGATGGATAGTGGCCAGCAGTGGAGTCCAGGATGCGCGTTTCATCCTAGTTGGGACTCGTCTGATGGATGTACCTGCATCCCAGAGTTGATGTTCACCTCAGTTGACGAGTCTCAAATACGACAAAAGGCGAGTCGAATTGAAATCCACTGCTAGTCACTATCCACCTTTGCTTAAAAAAGCTTGTGATTTAAGGCTTTATCCAGTCAATCCGCACAAGATGCACATATGCTAACATGAGACTAATTAATTGCAGTCCTAAATAACAATGAGAAGATGCAAGTAAAAACAACACCAAGTGAATTCAAAATAATCGTTGTGAGTTGCGCTGACTGAAAATCTGCAACAAAAATTTCATGAATTCACAGTTATGAATCCGAAACAGTTTACACTGACTACTGATAATCTGAGAAACTATTAACAAAACAAGAAATTGTTCGTGAGATTGATGTAATTGTGGGGAATGGAGTTAAAATAATGTTCTGAGCAGAAAACCCTACTGAATATTTAAAACGTGATAAATTTAGTTTTACAAAAAAAGCTTCTATGGTTTACCTTATACATAATGTTATTGCCTAGTTTATTAAAGTGACTAAAACAAATTAGAATAGATTGAATCATTCATAAACACTTTCTGAAAATGATTTGAAAGCAACATAGAAGGAAAGATAATGATCTTACAGATTATTAAAGATTAGATATGACAAATCAATTGATGTCTATCATTTCAAAACATTAACCATTATATTTATCATGAATGTTAAGACCGGAAAGTTTAAGCTCATCTTATGATATAGTTTTGTTGCAATCATAGTTTCAGATATAGTAAATATGAAAAGAACTTTTTGACACAAATTTCTAATGTAAAATAACTAATAGGAACACAAAACTTGTTATTCATTCAAAACTGATACGTATAATGAGTAATATTATTTCAAAGTTATTCTTTCTTTCTGAAAAAAAATCATTCGCTCAATTTCGTGGATTAGTTGAAATTAGACATTGACACCGTTGGATGCCGGCTGTCTTCTCAGTAGTCTAGTGGTTAAGTGCTTGCGCGTGAAATCAGTAGATCCTGGGTTCGAATCTCACGAGGAGCGAGGTCGTGTATGCGCACTGCTGAGGAGCCCCACAATAGGACGAAACAGCCGTTCAGTGCTTCCAGGTTTTCCATGTTGGTCTAGCTTCAACTGATTCATAATCTTAACCATTGAAATTATTAAAAAAGAAATGAATAAAAGATCAGTAATATACAAAAGAGCATAACAGGCATTTAATTTTCGAATAACAAATCAACTCTTATATGTATATATACGTAGTTTTATTTATAACCAGTTATTTCAATTGGAGTCACATGAAAAAGGGAATAAATTAGTTTCGTGTTTAAAATTAAATAAAAATCCCCAGAAAAAGAACAAAAAGAACTTATGTATATATATATACTATGACGTGTCGTTTTTACATATAAGAGGAAATTTCTGACTAACAATTATATAAACCATTACATACAAATCTAGTCGGTAAATTGGGCAAAGATATATCTGTTTTGAAACAAAACAACAACAAAACAATATGTCTATAATCAATTTTGATTTAAATAAAATGTTTTCTTATATTTTATCATGTTACTTGGTAACAATTTCCTTTAAAAGAGCGTGGTTTAAGTGTTAATGTATGACATATATATATACACACACGCACACGAACATACACTTCGTCTAACAAACAAACATGCATATATATATATACTGATTAAATGACAAATTATTGCTTGTAAATCAATAAATCACTGATAATAATTAATTATTATAGGCGTGTCATTTCGTTCATTACCGTAGTATATATATATATATATATATATATATATATATATATATATAGGTGTAGCCCTTTCATAGAAAAAAGTATGCACTGAAAAATGTAGTTGAAAACTAAACAATTATGTAATTTAAAACATTCTATTAATGTTAACATAACCTTAGACAGTAGTTTTCACCATTTGATTAAGTATTAAAAAATTAGAATAAACAAACGCAAACTTCTCTTGAGCTTGAAATACTATGAGATTTAGTTTGTTGAAATAAGAGCTGTTTTAGAGGATGTTTTGAAGATTTATTGTAAATAAAGATATTAATACCTGCTAAATTGTTCTTTAATTGAAAAGGTTTCTAGTTTCGAATAGTTCTGTAGCGTAATTAATAGATAATAAAGAAATATTCCTATATAAAATAGTACAAACAGTCTTTTAAAAATATTATCCAGTTACGTTACTTATTAGTACATTGTAAGCTTAGATGGATTGTAGCTAACAGTGGTATACAAGACGATCGTTTCTTTTTACTTTGGACTCGTCAACTTGATGTACTTGCATCACACAATTGATGTTTGCTCCATGATTCGAACTTGATACCGTCCAGTTCAAAATCTACCGCGTTATCCACTTAGATCTTGGGTATTTGGACTCAATAACCAAGTGGATAATTGATGGCATTTGAAGCGGACCGGAGTCCCGGAGCGAACATCAACTGTGTGACGCAAGTACACCAAGCCGATGAGCCCCAAGTAGGACGAAACGCACTCCTTGAATTCCACTGTTAGCCATTGTCTATCCTTGCCTATAATACTTGTGATTTCAGGCAATGTCAAGGCAACCCATTTAAGAAGAACACATGTCAATATGAGACTGATCAATCGGAGTCCTAAAAATCAATGGAAGATTCAAACAACCAATAAAAAAAATGAATTATTAGTATTTTATTTGAAAATCTAAAAAATAACACAAACTTACACAACTTCTAGTATTCATCTTACATTATATAATTCATTGTACTCTGTAAGAAACTGGTTACAGCTAAGCATGTTAAATTTATTGAAATTGTTATGATCCGAAAAATAAATTTTAATCAGAACGTTTTTTTCAAGAATCTTGAATAATAAATAAATTTATCTGATCTTTGGGTAAATTCACTTGGTATTGTTTACTTAAGTCTTCCGATTGATGTTTAGCATTGTAATTGATCAGTCTCTTATTGGCATATATGCATACTGTATGTATTGTCTCGATATTGACTATTTTATTCAGACATGTTACCTGGAGTAGAACACTTTCGGGAATATACAAACTATATTTCTAACTTCTTGTTTATTTCCGTTTATCCTGAAGAAAGTAATTACTAAGGCAAAGATAAGTGAATACTTCGGCTTTTTACTCTAAAAACCATTACATGGAGAAACTGAACAGAAATATAAATACAATAATTTAGTTCAGTTAACTAGGTTGCAAATCCATTTGTTTTAAAATAAAACAAAACTACCAAAAGGATGGTAACTGAACTTATTTAGAATGTATTTTTTGTTAGGGTTAAAAAAGACGTTTGTATTTTAATCATTCTTAGCAATTAATACATTGCTTTTCAGCTAACGTCAAATGAACATCCAAAACTAGATATTAACTAATATGGTTCTCAATGAAATTATAAATCGATCATTGTTAGAACACCATTGAACACCTGGAAGCACTGGATGGTCGTTTCGTCCTGGAATGAAATTCGTCAGCAGTGCGCATCTACTATCCCACACACAGAACTCAAACACGGGACCTTTTGTCCCATGTGAACACTCAACCTATAGATCGTGTGTGCGTAATTTTGAAGAGTTCCATAATAGAACGAAATAACGGTCCAGTGTCTCCAGGTTTTCTACGGTGATCTAACACTGATCGATTCATGGTTTCAAAAATATTCAACCATCTCCACAAACCCATATTGAAAATATGAGTTTATTCAAATTATTTAACAGAATTTCGTTATCACGGTAGCATTCTCTTTATATTCTTATTCATTTTAAGTTTATTAAAAGAACAATCAGATATAACTATTCACAATGTCATGTCTAAATTCCAACTACTTATAGTTCTGCTCTAATTACATGACACTAAATGTTCACAACTTACAATATGACATTAGATCTAAAATTCTTTGAAATCTTTTATTATTCATTGTGGGAAGTTAAATTACAATAAACTGACTGATCAGCTGACTTTTTTTATTAAAATA